AAAAAAAAAAAAAATCAAAATTGGAAATGGAGAGTAGTGATGGCTGCACGACACTGTGCGTCTAATTTAGTGCCACTGAGTTGTACACTTAAATGGTTAAAATGGTAAATTTCATATTAGATACAGTTTATTACAATAAAATAAAATTTCTTAAAAGTCCAAGACACTGTTTTACATCCTAGTTTGGTGAGCAGCAAATGGGGTCTTAAAAGCTTGGAAGTGGCCATCTAGATGCAATGATGGGTCCCTCCTCATCCAGAGCAAAGAAGAATTAAGAAAAGCAAAGACACATGAAAATAATTAGTCTAAGGGACTGGTACACCATGTAATCCTCAGCCTATATGGCCATGAGACCAGAAGAACTAGAAGGTGCCCAGCTACCACTGTCAACAACTCAGAGGGAAATTTGTGCAGTAAATCCTGGATAGAGTGGGAGAACAGTGTGGAACAAAATTCAAAATCATAAACAAATGACCAGGTTTACGGGTCTGATGGAGCCTGATGAGACCCCTGAGACTATGGCCCCTGGTTATCACTCAGGTCTGGAATTGAACTCACTCCTATAGCTTCCAGCCAAACAGCAGACAGGCATATAGGATGAATATTTACATCAGGTAGACATACTCCTTGGAGCAATCAACTGTGGGAAAACAGAAGGTCAATGTTTGCACAGGGAGATAACTCGGGGCAGGAATGCATAGGAAAGAAGGACACAGGGGAGAGGTAATTACAGGGAGGAAGTGGGAAGGGAGCTGTTACACTGTGGGGAATTGCAGCCAATGTCACGAAACAAAATGTGTATGAAATGCTACATGGAAAATGAATCTTCTCTGTAAACTTGCACCCAAATCACACACAAAAAACGTCAAAAGCTAACAGATGTAGAAGATCTCTACTCTGAAAATTACAAAATAATGAGAGAAATTAAAGATGACTTAAATGGAGAGACATACCATGTTCATGGATTAGAAGACTCAAAATGATCCCAAACTGATCTACAGATTTAACACAATCCTCATCAAAACCCCAGCAGGATCTCTGTGTGTGTATATGAAGTTACAAGCTGCCTCCAAAATCTGTATCAAAATGCAAAACCCAAGACAATCTTGAAGAAGAAAAACAAGTTGAAGTGGATGACTTCACTACCATATTTCAAGACATGCTATAAAGTTACAGTAATCAAAACACTGCAGTATTGGTTCAAGAACAAACATATAGAATAATGGAACAGAACAGAGTCCAGAAATAGTCACCTGACTTTTCACAAAGACACCAATATACATCAACAGGGAAAGGAAAATCTTTTCAACAAGTAGTGCTGGAGTAACTGGATATCCACACAGAAAATAACGAATCTTGACTTCCACCTCATACCACGCAGCAATATTAATTTAAGACGGGTAATAGACATAAAGGAGCTCTGGTGGTATCGTGTTAAAACATTTGGCTGCAACCAAAAAAGGTGGTGGTTCAAACCCACTAGCCACTCTGCAGAAGAATGAGATAGTCTGCTTCCGTAAAGATTTACAGCCTTGGTAACCCAGTGAGGGTTGCTATGAGTTGGAACTGATTTGACAGCAGTAACTGGTTTTGGTTTAAGAGACATAAATATAACTACAGATAAGAAAAGTGAAACTAAGAAAAGTTAAGCAACTTGTCCAGTGCCACATACCAGAAAGTGGCAGAATCTGGATAGAATCTAGGTCCTCAGAGCCTGGGATCCTAACCTCTGCTAAAGTGGTGGGACACTGGGTTTAGAAAGTACCCACTGTGTTTCTGAGGTTGTATCACTTTAAGAACTTTAAACAAGTTTTAACTATGTTGTTGTTGTTATGTGCCATTGAGTCCAACTCATAGCGACCCCTCCTTGGGTTTCCAAGGCAGTATCACTACAGAAGTAGATTGCCCAACCTTCCTTCCAAGGAGTGGCTATAGTTACATTAGTATCAATTTGTTATTGTTACTGTTAATACCAAGCCTGCCTGTCTTGCTCAATGCCATTTATCTTTGGCTGAGCGCTGGAGCTGTTGCTATCCATCAGGGCCCTCACCAGCCTTCTCCAAGGGGGACAGGATAGGGCTCACCTTACCTGCTTCCTGTTCTCTTCCTCCCTCCCTTGTTCCACTGAGCTCACCTAAGGGTCCGGCAGGGCACCTTCCCCTCCTTCGCCAGCTGCAGGGCTTCCTCGTAGGCAGCAGCAGGCCTGGAGAGTGGGATTGGGTAATCCCCAATCTGCAGGGACTCAAAGAGCTTGGGTGGGGTGACACAGAGAATGAGGAAAGAGGAAAGTCAGAGCCTTATAAACTACATCAGTCTGCCCGCAGGTGATACTCTAGGGGCTTTCCCTGCACTGCAGCCTCTCAAAGTCAGAGGGAGTACTGACCCAAATCAGGAGGCTATCTGAGTAACCTGGAGGTCACCACCCACTCCTGGCCTCAGCATCCCCATCTCCAGGGGTCCTTTTCAAAAGGACCACTGACTGTCCTCAGGCAGAAGATGGAGGGCCTGACACATATGGCCTTAGTGGGAAACTAATACCAAACAACGGACATGAATGTCTGAAAAAGGGTGAGGTCAGTGTGGGCTGGAGTGCTTGAGGGCAGGCGACCTTCTGCTCTTATCCACAGGACCCAAGACCCCAGCTTCTGAGGCATCCTCTTCCCTGGAAACTGTGCTGAGTCCCCAGAGAGAAGCATTTGTTGACCGCCAAATTCTGCTCCCATTGGAGGAAATGCCTCTACTTTCCCATGACCCACAGCTCGCCACACTGGCCTCCAAGGGAGTGTCAGCCTTCACCCCATCCTTGGCTCAGGCAGATGTTAAGGAGGCACCACCACTCCTTCTGCCTTGAGTCACCTCGGTAGCAGAGAAGAAGGAATCCTCAGAGATCAGGCTGTCCTCATCATCGGCCCGCAGATGCAGGGAGCCCTCAGTCAGGGGCAGCATGAGGGTCCTCTCTGGAACGAGAAGGCCTCAGCTGAGATTTCCCTACAGAGCTTTCTAGGATCCATGTACGCAAAGTCTGCCCACACCGGATTAGTGGAAGCAGTCCTATTTATTGAGCACTTCTGTGTGAAGACACTGGGCTACCTCCTGAAATTATTTCCTTCAAGTCTCACAGCATCCTGAGGTGGGCACACGATTATCCCCTTCACAGGTAGGACACTAGGACATAAGCTGGTGAGGGGCTGGCCCATGCTCACAGTTGGACCCTGAGTCCTGGTGGCCCCTGAGTTCTGCAGGGGGCAGAGACATTGCTGTGCTATGGCCCTGGGCAAGTTATGTTCCCTTCCTGACAAGTGAAACTTAGCCATTGATACCAAAGAGCTCAAAGGAGTCCATAGGCCACTCATTTGGCCCTTCTGCCCCTTCTTCCTCAGGGGCTGAAGGGTGTGGACCTTTGCGTGTGGTTAGGAAATGTCTGTCAAATAAAGACAGACCACAGGCCCGCAGTAGGCCATCTTGAATGCCCTACCAGCCCAACGAGGTACCCTTCTCTGCCACGTGAGGAGGACAGATGAAGTAGGATCTACTCGACAGGCAAAGCTACATTGAGGCCATGTGGGAAGAAACCATGGGGGCGTGTGTAGCCGTGGCCAACTTGCTCTCCTGGCTGGGTCTGTGTCCCCACCAGCAAAGCCAGGAAGTCTGACACTCAAGAGAACCCCCAGGCAGGGCCATGTGTCATAATCACAGCACAGGGCCTGGTACACAGTGGGCACTAGGAGAACACTGGCTATTTGGCTGAATGACTTCATTCATACTTGATGTCAGACCCCTTTACCTCAATTACCTCTGTTCTGGCACCTGTGGCCTGTTTTGGGCTAATCTCCACGTGAGTCCTCCCCTCCACCCACCCAGTGTATGCCCAGAAGGCAGTAAGTCAGTAGAAGAACGCTCAACCCAATGGCCTAGACACACCATTAGGAGATGTTGACACACAAGCCCCACAACCTGCTCCCAGCAAGATGGGGCAAAGAGCACTGGCAAGGGCCTTAGCTCAGCTCTACCCCTCCCTGCCATGTTTCTGTCCCTCATCTCCCCAACTGCGCAAGGCAGTGGAACAGATGAACTGATGACACTAAGAATTCTGACTTATCTGATCCAGATAAGGTCCAGTCTCACCTTATTTCTCTCGTGGTCCCTTCACCCAGCCCAAGCCCCAGGCTCAACTCACCAAGGTCCAGTAGCATGCTGTCCGATGGGAAGGTGGAGCCAAACTCCTCCTGTAGGTGGTAGGCACGGTGCAGCAGTGACTCCAACTTCTCTGCAAACTCCCTTCTCTGTGACTCCGGCTTTGTGGAAAGCAGTAGTTGTCAAGCCAGATTCTCCAAGCTCCCTATGGAAATGGCCCCCTCCCTCACCATTGATGCAGCTTGAGCCCCAAGCCCCTGGGGAAGGGGGAGAAGACTCTGGGCACTGACACCAAAAGCCCAGGCACCAGATCTGCACTGTTCAGTGCAGGAGCCACTTGCCACATAAAGTGACCGAGTGCTTGAAATGAGGCCAGTCCAAACTGAGATGCACCATGAAGTGTAAATATGTGATCCTGGCTGCCGGATTTCCAAGACATAGCACAGAAAAAGAACGCAAAACATCTCCTGAGTGATTCTTTATATTGATGACATGCTGAAATGATAATATTTTGGATATATACCTTACATAAAATATATTATTAAAATCAATTTTGCTTAGTTCTTTTTCTTTTCCATGTGCCCTCTCATAAAACACTCACTGTGAGTTCCAGTAAGATGGTGGAACAGGCAGACAAACCACATAGACCCTCTTCAGCAAAGAAAAGGGGAACCAGTTAACAAAGATACAGATGATAATCCTGGAGCCCTGAGCTTTGAGAGGAAGGATATACAAGTGGACTAAATTCCAACTAGTAGAAGAACTTGCACAAAAACACCAAAACAGGAGACACATGGAGCTGCGGTCTGTCAGCGATCCTGATGGCAAGGACAGCTTAGATACTGACCTAACAATTAACCTAAAAATTGGCCCTGCTACCCAGGGGTTGCACAGAAGACTGCAGTAGTGGCTGGTGAACAAAAGGGGAAGCAGCAAAAAGGGAGGCAGGCTGAGCTGTGGACTTTTGTCTGTCCAGAGAGTGCAGCTATTTTGAATGTTTACAAGCAGTTCAACCATTTTGGATATTTAAAGGACAGTGTTCTCTCAGATTCCAGGGACCTAAGAATAGGCTCCACTTGCTGGGGACTGCAAGGACATTCCGCATGCCAATGACTAGAAAGGTATGACATTCCCCTTGTTATCTCAAACCCCACACCATCTTGGTGAATGGTGGTGTGGCCACCCCTCACTCCCACCTATCTTCTGGGCCAGCAGGAATTTCATCCCAGTCTTTGTGCTCTGACCAAGCCTTGGTGCCCTGCCCCGCCCAGATCCCCCCCTTTTTTAGTTTGTTTTTGTCTGTTTTAATTTTTTTTTTCATCCTTTTTATTATAATTCTTTCTTCTTCCTGTCCCAGGTTCTAGGTTTCAGCTTTTTCTCTCTTCCCTGCTCCTGGTTCCCATGTTTCTCTTTCTTGCGGTTCTCCTCATTTCCTGTTTTTCTTTCTGCTTTTTTCCCATCCTCTTTTCTCTTAGTCCCCCCTTCCCAGATATTGTGTATATTTTCCTCCCCTTTTTCTATGCATATTTCTTTTGGTTTTTAAAGTATTTCTTTAAATATTTTATCTCATTTATTGCCTAACCTCTTTTTTTTTTTCTCTCTCTCTTTTTGGTGATTGTTCCTGTGTGTTTATTCAGTGTGTTTTTTATCCGCTTGCTTCTACTTTTTTAATGGTTTCGATTGTTGTTTTTGTCTGAGTGGGAGAGAGCAACTGTGCTCACACGATGCAACCACACTGCACCTCCTGCAGCTCCACTTACTGAGTGAGAGCCACCACTTCCTTCTGCACCAACTGGCCAATGATACGTAACTGGCAATAAGAGCCTGCCTCACCCTAAAATGCAGCCACTCTCATTCTCTATCACACCCACCAGGAGACAGGTGGTGAGTACATAAGTGCTACCAATTAGCAAACAGAGGAGCACAGTACCCTACTTACTCAGATACATCCAAAAAAGAAAAAAGAAAGTCTTGGGTGAATCACTCCAACATACAATCACCAATTAAATATAAATACAACAAAGTCACAATGTCTCAGAGACAATAAACCATCACAGTCCACACAAAGAAGCAAGATAGAGCAGTAGAAACAAGGGAGCAGGATACAGACCCAAAACACATTCCTGAGGAAGCAGCAGCATTGGAACTTACTGACAAGGAATTAAAAAGAATTACATTTAGGTACCTTCTACAGACTGAGAGACAGATAAAGAAAGCACTGACAAAATTAAGGAAAACACAGACAAAACCCAAGAACAATTTCAGAAGAAAATACAAGAACAAAATGACAAAATAAATGAAAAATTAGAAATGATACAACATCTACAGATACAAATCTGGAAGAGTAATACTATATTTTCAGAAATAGATAACATATTGAAAGGGCAAAGGAGTAGAATCGAATCAATGGAAGACAGAATTAATGAGATTGAAGACAACCTGAATACTTCTTTGGAGAGGGATTAATCAGAAAAAAGATCAAAACAAAATGAAGAAAACCTAAGATTCATGTGGGATACCATCAAAAGGAATAACCTATATGTAATCAGAATTCCAGAAGAGGAAGAGAAAAATAAAACCACTGAGAAAATTGTCCAAGATTTGTTGGAAGAGAACTTCCCTGATATGATGAAAGATGAGAATATATCCATTCAGGAAGTCCAATGAACCCCAAACAGGATAGACCCCAAAAGAAAATCACCAAGACATATCACCATCAAACTTATCAAAACCAAAGACAAAGAAAGAATCCTGAAAGCAGCATGGGAAAAATGACGTTATCTACAAAAGGCAACCAACAAGACTAAGCTCTGACTTCTCAGCAAACACCATGCAGGCGAGAAGGCAATGGGATGGTATATATAAAACCCTAAAGAGAAAAAATTCCAACCAAGAATTATATACTGACCAAAACTGTCCTTCAAATATGATGGTGAAGTTAGGACATTTCCAGATAAGCAGAAATTAAGGGAATTTGTTCAAACCAGACCAACCTTACAAGAGATACTAATGGGAGTCCTGTGAATAGAGAACCAATAATAGCCAACAACAACGAACCATTAATACACAAGATGACATAACCCAGAAACCAACACAGCTATGGATGTATCCAAAGTAAACTAAGCTTACAAGATTATAAACAGAGAACCAGAGAGATCAATTGGTGAATGAGGACAACTACCAAGCAAAAAGAGGGAAAAAATAGTGTAGTTATAGAACTTCTAAATGGTGAGAAGTCAAGAGAGTTGCAAGAGAGAATGGACTGTTCTAAACTCGGGGAGAAAATTATAAATCAGAGGGTAACCTCAAATAAAAATGATAAACCTTCACATCACAAT